TAGATAAATAGTAGATCCTTTCTCATTATTATTTCATACTATCAATAATGCAAGGTGAAAGGTGAGGCTGGATAAGGGCCTTTGATTGGTTTCCAGTGCAAACCCCACACGCTTCTTTCTTAATTTTTCCTATTTCCTATTTCCATATAACTTCACACCACTTGTAATCACACGTTGTTGGTTAGAGTTGTATTATTTACCAACTTTCCTCGCATAACTTGACTTTTAGGTGCTTAGTGGGTTAAAGTTGCTCTATCAAATCTGAGATAAAGACATTGGAATAAAAGCGAATCTTCCATCAAAGGTAATGTACAATAACAATGACAAATATGAAATACCAACAAAAAATTTATTAGAGTTGCATCAGTAGAAAGTTGTTTATAACAATTACATGGTGAGGGTAAATACGACTTTATAGAGCTTAATATAGAGAAATAAACAATTCAAAAGGAGAAAAAATTTGTGAACACAACAAAATTATACTTAAAAAATTATTAAATAAAAAATAATTTTCATATTTAAAGGCTCACTCTATTAATAATTTACGTTATATGGTCTAATATAATAATTGAATTAAAGGCAAGGTGGGGGGCAATGCTTTTACTCTTAGTGGCACCTAAAACTTATGGAAGGCGGTTTGGATTTTGCTTGTTTCTGTAGCATTGTTTCTCTATGTTTTTAATTTTAAGTTCGTATGTTTTTTAACTCACTTTTAATATTTAAAAATTATATTAAATTTTAATTAATTTAAAATAAAATCATTTTAAATCTCATATAAAAGAAAAAAAAAACTCTCTCATCACCTATTTTAAGTTCTTCAACTTGATCTTTATGTGGAAGCTTCCATGAATGAAATGTATGTATTTATGTTGTGAGGTGAATATTCTTTGTAATTTAAAGTATTAAATTTGATTTATGGAAAAATATATTCTATTCATTTACTTTTAGTAAATTTTGTTTGATTTTTTAATATTTAAAATGTGAATTTTAAAGTAAAATTTAATAATTTATATGATCAAATAAAAATATTTAATAAAAATCATATATAAAAATAAAAAATTTAATTATTATTTATATAAATGATTAATTTTTTAATCAAATAAAAATATTTAATAAAAATCATATATA